CGCCCGCCAAGCGCGCTACTATGCCTCTCACTGGGACGACCTTGTCCTTCATCTCCGGTACGAGAGCAGACGTGTAACCGTTCGTAGCATACACGACATTGCTGCTCTTGACGGAGCCGCGCGGTGTATTCACGACCCAATGATGATCTTGTGTACCTCCTTCGGCTGCCGAGACGGATGTTACTGAGGTATGTGTTTGCAAGTTGACACCCATAGATACCGCTTTCTCTAGCAAGTGCGCCACAAGTCGGTAGGGCCACAGGCGAGCGGCACTATATGTATGACAAGACTTTGCACCCCATACGCCGGAAACCTATGACCTCAGTCAGACCTCTCCAAAGAGACAATACAACGAATCACATCAAGATGTTCATCTTCGAACACTACATACCTCTTCTGCTTCTCTGCCTGAAGTAAACTTTATCCCTTTCGCAGTTGATATATCTGCTTTAGTGATTTTCGCGATGTCAACTTTGATCTTATCGCGACCGGCTTCGTAAAAGCAGACATCTGTGACCCTGGTCTCTTCGAAGTCGCAGTCACAGTTCTCCCGCCGAACAAGTTCTTTGATTGCGTCGACCTGGCGGGCCTCGAAGGTAGCCACGTGCTCCGCGACCGCTTTCCCATGCGTATCTAGTACGCTGGCGGCTCGTGACAAAGGGTCTGGTTTCAAATGACCGCCTAGATTCTCAGTCTTAGTACGTGCAAGATTGAATTTGGATCTCAAGGGCAGATGGTATGTACCGTTACGTCCAGTAGCGCCAGAGCAAGCCTCGCGTGCCTCAAGGATAAGTATCGATGGAATGGGGCGGTCGCGACGCACACACTCTTCGACTATGTGATGCACGATCGATGCCCCAGCATACCCCGCGCCAACGATTACAACATCGACCTGCGTGGGAAGATGCTCAGTACTGCGATGGTTGTCGATGGGCCCAACTTGTTTTCTCCAATAGGAGGGGACAGCATCCGCCACCGGGAAGGGTTTGGCGCTGGTACCAGGAAAAGACATGTTGAAGGTGTAGGATGTGAATCACATGCACGTATTGGTGGTAGTTCTACGGGATTGTCCTAAGTGCAAGGTGGGCTATGTAGGTACTCACGCTTAGTCATTCACAAGGCAGGTTCGCTTCTACTGTACCCAGCCCGTGAACTTGCGTACTTTAGTCAGACAGATAGGATGCGTAAGCGCAGAATGTTGTCTTTGGCTCCAAGCGGCTGCGCAAGGCGGTGATCGTTATGCAATTGCGACCGGGCCGGTCGCCGGTCCGGTCACTGATAAGGACCCAGTTGACTTTGCCGCGCAGCAAGCAAACACCCGTTCAGAGCCGCATAATCCGGTCTAGAGGCTGTGTTTACCAGTAGTAGCATTTGGAGTGTTGGAAAGGCCCTCCGGTCTTGCCTTTCACCAACAATGCTGCATTAGATGCGAGATGATCGAGCAATTCTACTGGTCAATATCCATCAGCAATGACAGCTCGCATGGTAGAGAAGGTGTAATGCGAACAGGCATAGGAAACAGTTCGATTAGCAAAATACAATTTACAGTGACACAACCTATATCATGATAGATGTTCTGAATGACTTGATGATTGCTATCCACGGCTCGACCCTGACGACGCTTTCCCAATTCCAGCCCGCGTCCCACGCACCTGCAATCTTTCTGTTGAGAGCCATCACGCACGACACTTCATTCGGTGGTGACGTTACTCAACGGCCTCCTGGGCATCCTAGTGATCAACATGACCATACTAGGCACAGTAAGAACTAGCAAACCACAGTTCACATAGATCGGGACCACAGGAGCGATGCCACTCGCAGAGCTCAGACCATAGGAAACTGCCTGGCCCGCCGTCTCAAACGCGCGAAACAAGCCTGCCACGCGTGAAGAATCGCCCATATCGTTGGAGAATGTGCCGAGAATCCAGTATAGTGTCAATTGCGTCCAGTAGCCGCTCACGAAGATGATAAGGTATGGCACGTATGCCCTTGCCCATCTGCCAGTTTCTCTATCGTTGAAGTCAGTCTCAGTCGCACTGGGGCCTGTCTCTGTAAGATAACTCACGATCCGTAATCAAGCGCCGTTTTATTGCCGAGGTAGTGGTACTCAAAAGCGACCCAGATGAAACAACCGGTTTGTGGCAGAATCCACAGCGAGAATGCAACCCATGCCTTGGGCCGTTGGGCCCACCGCTGGCTGTCTAGAAGCTTGCCGAATATGACAACCGACGGAATGGTGATGGCAGCTGTACTGGTCAGCATGTAGTCGGCGGCTCTCAGATTCCATACTTACGGAGAAGAAAAGACGAAAGAGCGCGTGCGCGGACCGAGAAGTGTAGCGAGAGGTAGGTACCCATCGTCCCTCCGTAGAAGAAAGAATAGAATGAGGGCAGAAAGATCAGCCAGACCTTGCTGCTTTGTAGATACCTCCACAGAGCAACGAATTCTTGCGTCCAAGTGACCCTTCCCGACATGGGGACTTTGCTGCCATCGCGACGACGCACTCGTGGTGTGGGGGACAATGACAGTGCCCAAAGAACTCCAGTGCATTCTGCTATTGGTCAATAACTGTGCACTCAGAGCAGACGCGGTATCCGTCACGTACCGAACCCAACAAAGACCAGATATGTCGCCCATGCAATGCCTCCAGCAGAGGCTCTGTCTGAGTTCGTGGAAAAGTTTATCGCGCCACCGATCAAGCTTCCGGAGCTTCGCATAGCCGACCAGATGCCTGTCAGAGGTTAGTGAAATGATCATACTTCAAGTCGCACGCAGATGCTTACCAAGGTATAACCCCTTCTCTTCTGGCCTTGGGTAGCATAACATGGCTGTCGTTTCACTGACGTAAAGAAGCCCACCCGCTAGACCGTTGATAACCTGGCCCCATCAGTATGTTTCCTTTGTATGAATGAGTGATGATCGTACATTGGATGCTAGGAGGTACCAGTCGACGCCATATCTAGCGTTCACATAGTACGCAGATCCCTGGAGTGGCATTGTAAGAGCCGCAATGAAGCACGCCCATTTGATGCCTATCCTGTTGATGATGGGGCCTCCGAAGATAGTACTGATGAAGCTCATGGCGTAACTCAACGAATTCGCAAGATTCGCTAGCCATGGTGTAGACAGTCCGCCTCCTCCCAGATTGGATATAGCATCACCCATGGCTGGGCCAACCAACGAAAGCCTTATTCACGTTTAGCATCCGCATTGTAGTCTCTGAGAGGGTTACTTACGCTCCGAACATCACCATCTGGAACAGCACGCTCCGGTACAAAGTCGACCATTTCCAAGATCGCAGGAAGTCGTAATCGGTAACTTCTTCCTGCGATCCGACCGCGATGTCCTCCCCACCGTCATGCTCCGTGTCCTTCACTTTGGCGTCTTTGGTGTCTTTAGTCTGCGAGTAATCCATCACAGAACTTTTACTGAACACTGTTCATGATACGCGTTTATTTTATGTCGGGCTCTCGAGTGCTAGGAAATACCGGCCGGCAAGGTGATTGGGAGATGAGGCCCCATGTTTGCTCCAGATAAGCATTGCACCGGCCCGGTCTGTAGCCCGACTGATTAGACATGGTGTTATACGGGCGACTCGTAGAGTACGTGCTTATCGAGCATGGATGAGCATGGGGTGTTAGCCGTGCTTGGCTATCGCGTTCTTCTCAAGTTGCCCTGGGCCTTTACAGCAATTGCCATTAGCATGTAGATGCCAGGCACGAGTCCGAACGTTACAACGGTGCTTGTGAGCTCTAAGAAAGCTAGCCGATGTCTTCAGAAGAAGGCCGGAAAAGAGCTGCGCGCAGTATAAGCGTTGTCGGGAGTGACGAGAAGCGCCGGTGTTGGAGTTGCGGGGTGTGGAGATATCTCCACTTGTCTATCAACACGCGCACCAATCAAGCCACTGGTATTACTGTACATACAGCCCTTTCTTCCGATGGGCGGGAACGGGAGGCATTCAAGTTCCTAACCCACGACCGCGAACATGCGCACATCTAAGCGACAATCCTCAGGAGTGCAAATGGCCGTTAACAGTCATTCGTGGCTATAGTGCTGGGGTGCCAAAGTGACAGAGATGCGTTTCCGAAAACAATAGTAGTACCTCGGAACGGCACCGCATCTTCTGACGGATCACGAGGGAGGACCAGTCTTCATGATTCTATGGTCGTATGTCCAAGACGTGGAAGTAATGGCGAGTTTGAATATGATAATGTCGATCAATTCGAACAGCTGCATGATGTCACGCGTCTGGATTAGGCTGTGTCGACTGTGCACTACTCCGGAGTACGACTCTTTGCTTCCATGGATGCTGCAGCTACGCTTTCGTCTAGAACGGGTTCTTCAAGGAAAAGCATACATCCTGTGGTGGACGCCTAATTGGAAGTAGAGCAGCTACTTGCATCTCCAGACCAATCACAGCAGCTCAGGCCGCGATGGCTCACCCGAGCCGCTCCTTCCCCGCTCCGGTGATAAGCCCCTCACGTCTTCTTCAACATCAATCGCGTCCTTCATATTTGGTCTTGCATCTTAGAATCAAATTCATCGTACCATTTTGACCCCACATCGCGCCTGCCTGTAACATGTATCACTGCGAGTTGTAAACCACGAATATACAATAACAGACCAAAGATTTCGGCTGCAGCTTGCAGGCGCAATTAGCGTACAATGTCGTGGCGCTCACGAGGTTATAGGCTGCAGTCGATTGCGCCTTTGGCGTCCACACTATGTCTCCAGCTGTGGTTCGAGAGGTTGTAGCATCGCAAAAGTGTTTCGTGGCTGAATCCAGCCTCTCCAACTAAAGACCTCAGCCGCACCCGAATTTAGCCAGCATGATGAAACCTTCACGGAGGAAATGCTTATAACCCCATCATTGCTTACTTCCTTTGTTCTCCAAACCCTACTAAAAGACTCAATTCTTCATTACACATCTACTCAGAGATCGCTTCTTAGAAGTGTGCCATAAATGGGCTGACGACATGGCGAGCACTACCACTCCTACAATGAACGGTCCAGCACCCGTGACAATCTCCATCTATGGCCTCACCGAGCTCACTCAAGGCGATGCTGTCCGAGAATTCGACATTGTTTTTGTACATGGCCTCCAAGGTCACCCGGAGAGCACGTGGACGTTCTCGGAGGGTACTAGCAACCAAACACCTGCCAAACCGCCTTCCAAGGGTTCCTTTTTCCGACGGTCCGTAAAAGCAACTGCTACGGAGCCCGCGGCTGATTTGCCCGGAGCTCCTCCACCGCCAGGCACCTTTTGGCCGCGAGACTTCTTGCTCGAGGATTTCCCAAAAGCGCGCATTTTCACCTATGGCTACGATTCTTCCGTCAGCCACTTTTTCGCTGGCCCAGCTAATTCCGACAACATCCTCGACCGTGGACGAGACCTGCTCGAACGGCTTGTAACGCAGCGTGAGAAAGTGCGAGGTCGCCCCATCATTTTCGTTGCGCACTCTCTCGGTGGTTTAGTCGTCAAATCGGTAAGACTTCCATGGGTCACATCATCATCTCAAAGTGTTCATTCAGCTAACATTTACTCAATATAGGCCTTGAGGCTATCTGCCTTAGCTGAGGATGGAGCCAAAGACCACGAAGACATACTAGCATCCACGGTGGGCATCTTGTTCTTCGGAACTCCTCATCGCGGGAGTCTCTGGGTCAGCACGGGCAAGATCATCTCCCGTTTTGCCAAAGCGATGGGCTTTTCGACGAGTAACGTCGATCTCGACTTGCTCAGGCCAAATGACGCAATGCTGCAAATACTAAGAGATGACTTTAGACGACAATTAGACAATCAGAAACTGCTCCATGTCACGTCTTTCCAGGAATCCAAGGGGTACAAAGGCTTCAACGGCTTTGATGAAAAGGTACGAGACCTGAGAACGAACTTTTGGAGAAGCTTGAATCCCTGACAGTACCTCGATTACAGATTGTAGACCCGGACTCTTCAGAAATTGGACACGCAAGAGAACGGCGCCTACCCGTTAATGCCAATCACATGGACATGTGCAAGTACAGTAGGACGGGTCCGACTTGGGTCAATTATGAGCAAGTGGTGAAACCTCAGATAAGCAGGCATATGAACAGAGTGTACGAGGCACTGCGGGAAAGTACGGCGATCGTCCAGCAGAAGGTTCACGCCTTCGATTTCCAGCACGCTGGCTAATCAATCCACGATAGGAAATGAGTCTTTGTTCAAACACTTTTCCGATGCTTTGACGTTGAAAACCAATCAGATTGACGAAGCCCATGATCGCACGCTCTCATGGCTCCTACAACCGGACCTGCAAGGACCCGGCCTAATGAATTGGCTTGCCGTTGAAGAAGGCATATTTTGGATCCAGGGTGTGCCAGGCTCCGGGAAGTCTACTGTGATGAAGTACCTTTGCGAGTCGGGCGACGTCGCCAGAACCCTAGAGACATTCGGTTGGTCTCATGCAACAGTTTTCTTAACGCGCGAGATTGAGGAAGAGAACAGATCCTGGAAAGCAGTCGTCGGCGCAATCGTGTACAAACTCTTATGTTTCCACCCCGCCCTTCATTCCATCATCGAACCGTTGGTCGCTTCCCATGGCCAACCAAGGTCCTTCTCTCTAGAAGAGCTTGAGAAGATTCTGCTTCTATGCAAGTCGCAGAAAATAGTCACATTTCGCATTTGTCTTTTCATAGACGCCCTGGACGAGAGTGACAACGATGAGAAAAATTGGGAATACATGGCCGACTTCTTGGAGTTCCTGGTATCAGGTGAGGCCGACCAAGGATTTGGTACCTTCAAGGTATGCGCCACCAGCCGTCCGGAGAGCGCATTCGATGTCCGATTGAAGGGTCGACCTGGCTTGCGCGTGCAGGATTGGACCAAGGGGGACATATACCATTATGTCCACAGCCGATTGGAATCCCATCGGCGCGTACGAGACATGGCTGGAGATTCGGAATTCTGCGATCAGCTGCAGGAGATCTGCAGGTTCATTATTGATCAGGCAATGGGTGTGTTTCTTTGGGTTCGCTTGGTCGTCGACAGCGTGCATGTCAGCCTATCACGAAGCGAATACTTGGGGAACGTACGAGCGCGACTATTGAACATGGATCAGACAAACACACAAATGGCTGAACTTTACTTATCCACACTCGACAACATACCGGTAGAGACTCGCGGAGAGACGGACGCCATCTTCAGGACGCTCCTGGCGGCGGACAAACCGGTGAGTGTAATGGATATCGGTGTCCTTCTCGAGGTGATTCCATATCAAACCTTTACCGAAGACGGTTATGCAATTGAGCCCCGTCCGATATTGGATATGAGTAGGAGTGGCCCTAGATTGGAGCAGCGCATAAGAGACGCAACGGGAGGATTGGTACAAGTCGTTATGCCAGAAGGACGCATGGAAGCCCTTGAGATGTGGGAAGCATTGAGGAAGTCGGTTGTTGCCAAACCTACGAACGAGCCCGGAGAAGATGACGCTTCACAGGAAAGAGCCAGGATCGCTTTGAGAGATCAAGTGATCGCAGACGTGATATCAGGCGTGCGTGACGAGACTGCCGTCTTGACCAACGGTGACGCCTATATCGATGCGTATCACTGGGTTGTGCATAACTCAATGCTCATGCCAGACGCTCCGATTTGGACCGTTCAGTTCCTTCATCAGACAGTGAGGGAATTTTTGACAACATCGGACACAGATCTGTTTTCGAAGATAAGCGATAGACTTTCCCAACCACAGGATGGATTCATGGCAGCTGGCGCTATGTACCACATTTCGATTGCAATCGCCTATGTCCAGCTGAGCGACACCCTGCTGGAGGAGTCTAGATGGACCCTGGAACCAACAGAAATCATGATGAGGTACGCCCCGGAGTTGGACTTCATGGATGGAACGAAATCCTACGACCTTATCCACGTTCTTGATCGATGCCTCTCAAAGTCGACCAAAGGGAAAGCTTACTGGCCGGGTTTAAAGCTGAAACACCCTCCAGCCTGGAAAACTACATTCCTGGCATTCGCAGTGAGCAACAACATGTGCGCATTTGTCTCGAAAGCGCTCCGAAAACAACCCAATCTTATTGAAAAGCCCGGTCGCCCGCTGCTACACTATGCAGGCTGGTCTCCGGGCAAGTTTCCGAACCCCAACATGGCTGATATTCTTCTGAAGGCAGGAGCGAACCCAGCCTGGGTTTTTGACGAGTTACCGCAGATGTCCAAAACAGCATTAGAAAGCCTTTGTTTTGGACAAGTCTACGGAAATGGGGCCTTGCACTTCGATTACATGTGGTCGCTCGCGTTACATCTCGCAGACTCAGGTTTCGATTCTCGCGTCCCCTCCCCTTCTGGACCCGATCTCATCGTCCACGCCACGTCCAGAAACCCCGAGACATGGACCGAATGGACCACCATCTTTCACTACATTGCCGCAATGCCCGTACCACTAGTGGACAAGATCAAGTTCTTTAAGAAATTAAGGACTCTGGTCAACGACTCCAACGTTGGGTTTTACGACGATTGTATGAACGTCTGCGACTCAAAGAAGCTGACCGTCTTCGAAGCTCTGCTTCAGAACGCACACCCAGAGGACGTTACGCCTGAGATCGCTCGTCGCATGCTGCGAGGCCTGGAAGCCAAGATCACAGGGGAGATGGTGCGCGTCGTTTTCGAGTCCCCGGAAGACAGGGACGAGTCGCCCATCGCCTGTCATATGCGCGCGGTGGCTCGTATATTCTTCAGCGAGGAGTTTAGAAAGGATCGCTACTACTCTATTGGGGCTCAGAACCTCATGCACAGTCTCAACCCCCTTCATTTGGCTATGGTCGGTAGTACGTGGCTACCGCTACGCATCTACTACCGCGTCGTTATTCTGTGGCCAGCGCTGTCCCAGATCTTGATCTGTGTGTTCACTTCACCGATGGGATTACCGATATGCAAGTATGTACTCCTTGGACTTTGCTACCTTCTGTTTTTTGTAGCTCTGGTTGCGTTGTTGTTGTTTGCCTGGAAGGTACGCTGGGAAATGAAGAACAACAAAGACTTTGGAGCTTATGCTACAGCGAGAAGGAGGTAAATGTGTTCAAAGGAAGGGTCTTTATCACAACCAGTAGATCAATTGAATACATTCATACCGAATGAAAGCTGTACATCTAGATATCTTCGACTACTCGTATGGCATGAGTCTTTGCATATCAGTCGTCCCATACTCGGCTGCATCCGAAAGTACCTGGTAAGTACCACTGAGCCCACTACGGGCGATACTCGCTCTTGCAGCCGCAAACAAGTCCTTCGCCTGTCGTATCCGAAGCCTGAATGACCAAAGAAGTAACGAAAAACGACGCGCTTCCACATCAAGATGACAGAAGCGAGGTGCGATCGCTTTCGCAGTAGCTCAGCCCCTTCTGCAATGTGCGCACATGACTTCGCGCATAAGACATGAGACGAGAGCCTCATAGCGTGCGTGTTTGTTGCGCGATGCCAAAACGTGGCGCTCTCAGCTCGAGGCTGGAAAGCCTCCAGGGTCCATTTGGCGGCCGAGAAGGCGGGGTGCCCGAAAACGTGGAGAGCGACGCAGCACTAGGAGCCAAACAGCTTAGGCTTCGGCAAATATATGCGAGGGCGCAAGCGAAAGGGTGTTGATGCGTAGAAAGTATGAGTCTGGAAGTCACGATGTGGACCTGTCAGGTGTTGAGGATGCTGGCCCGTTCCGCCGCCGCGTGGAATCTAGCCCATGCAAAAATAGCCGAGAACCATCGCGTTCAGCTGCCGACGCGTAGTCACAAACCTAAGCTCTTTCCATCACTCTCTTGTCTGGACATGACCGAAACCTGCACAGCTGGCTACGCGTTTATAGCGATGGCTTATCGCGCTAGACTGCTTCACGGCAGCTGTTCAAGCGCTTCAAGTCCGAGTTGGCTGGTGTTGACGATCTAGAGCAAGCCACGTGCAAAACACGCCATGATGGCAGGTAAAGTCGTTAATAGACTGACACATTAGGACTGTTTACATGGATCTATCCCCAAGGTAGTGTCATATCACCGCATACGAGCTGAACCTGAGCAGTATAAAGACACCCGTCATTTATCCATCTTTTCATCGTCAGTCCACAGCAAGAACTTCCACAAGCATCTACTCCTCACTACACTCAAACAACATCCTTCCAACATGCCTTACCTCGTCCAAAAAGGAAACACAATCCACATTCCTGCCGAGTTCCTCGGTGGCGAGAAGAGCAGCACAATCACTGTGAATTGGAGCCAGAGGCTATCATCTCGCCAGCAAGACTACTATGTATGCAACTATACCGTCAAGTCTGGTGGTACGTGAATCCATTTTTCTAGACGATACCCTCAAGCTAACCAGCCATGAACAGGCGAATCTGACGGCGTCATCTACGTCCAAACCGACAAGCTCGATGACTTGAAAGCGAAGAGGATAGACGGAGGAGACTACAACTTTAGGGTCGACGAGTCGTTCCAATACGGCCAGAATCAAGAACAGACTAAGCGCTTTCTGGTCTTTCACAACATGAACAATTGGCCCTACCAGGTTAGTGAAGAGTGAATTCGTTTACAAGACGGAGAACAATAATTGATTGACTGAACACAGCATCGTTTCGTTGAACCCACCATCACTGCGCTTGGAGCAGAGGCCAAGAAGTTCACTGGACCACTCGGCCTCAGTGACAGTGACGACGGATGGAACCCTGCCGCTGACGTTGTTCAAGGTGTCGACATGGTCGCTAGGAACTTTGTTGGGGATTACTTGCACAGCTATTAGGTAGTCAAGGTCCAGATCTGTAGGAAGCTCTACATGCTACATGTTTTTGGGACTTGTGTAAATGTCAGCGACGAGTTAATTGGAGGCGTTTGGAGACACATGTTCGACTAACTTCACGCTGCAGCATGTCGTACTGTCAACATTACGGTTTTATTTCTTTCCAGCTACCTGTAGTATGCAACAACTTATATAATCAACGACCAAAGCCTAGTCCGCCCGCAGTTCGTCACTCTTCGTGTATCGTATGCCCCACTGTGGCCTACTTCGTTCTACCGTCCTGCTAGCCAATCTAGGTACCCTAATCCGGGCCACATGCCCAATGGACAAGCCCAGTCGATGCGCTCTGCTACATAACCCAGACTACACAACAGTACCGGTTCGCGAGTATCTTGTTGCCGATAGACTCGCATCGATGTACCAACGTCGTTCAAAGCGGACACTAGTTCGATAAGAAATTTCTTGATCGATTCGGTATAAGGATGGGAAACCCGGTCTTCCAGGTCAAGATACAAGTCGAACTTCGAGAGACCAAGGGACCTGGCAGTCGTAAGAAGACAATTTTGCAAGGGAGACGTCGCCCAGGTGACCTGGAGGTCATGCAGAAATGCACGCGGCATCTCTGTGATCGTGAGAGCCACTAAGCTATCCGGAAAGAACTCTTTGGGCTGCAGAAGATGTGTAGGTGTAGTAAAGATATTAACCCCGCCTGGTCTTATGTAAGCGAAGCCGAGAGTGAGCTCCTCCAATTGCACGAGTTCCCTGAAGCTACCAAATGGTCTGAACTCTCCAGCGTGATACCCAGTCCATTCGAAAGTCTTCAGTGACGGAAACAAGTCAGCCAATGGCCCGTTCAATCGACGATGATCGTAATCGCCTAGAACTTCAACATATACATTCACCATCTTCAGGTGCTGTATACCATGCATTTCTGGTAGTTCTAACATGCGATGAAGCTGATCCGGCTGTAAAGTGATGTGTCGCAGTTCCAAGTTGCGCAAAATCGCGGTCCTTTTAGATCCTCTGTATGACCATTGGAAGTTATGGTTGCCGCCGTTTTTGTAGTATTCACAGATGCCGTTGACCTTCAGGGTCTCGACAGGTGCCAATATTGGGATAGACGCTTCCTTTCCAAGGGCTACATCTAGGCTCTTCAACTTTTTCAAGGGCCAGACTCCCAAGGACGGGCTTTTGGTGAGCCTTTGCCAGCGTGAGGGGCAGACGGCTTCGATGATAGCAGAACTCGTGTTCATCAGCCGAAGGTGTTCGAGGTTGGTTGCGAGACAGAGTATGAGGGCAAGCGACGCATCTATAGTCCAGATCTCCCTGGACACATTGTAGTACCACGTCACGTCAAACAGAGGCTCTTTCAATGGGTACGCGAGTTCCTTGAGAGCCTTCTGTACCTCCGATGACCTTTTGGAGAGATCTTTGCTGACCTTCTCGATTGTGTTGTTCGGATCGTAATAGCTCAGATAGTGAAGGTCTGCTTCCCATTGCTCGTTAGCAATGTCGAAGGCGAAGCTCCGGATGTGCTTCGAGAGCTCCCTACGGCTGATTAGAGTTAATAGCAGACGTGGTACGGAGAGGATGTTTGGACTGCATACTTGGACGTGCCTGTAAAGATATGGCTCCGCTATCTTGCGATAGTACTTGTTCGTAAGCGTCAGGTTGTGAAGGGCGTGATGCGGGAGGTATTGGATGATCATCTCGTCGATTTCAGTCGAAAGGCCTGAGATCGACATCGTTGAATGGCGACTGCGATCGAGAGGCGGCTGTTCGGAGATGTCGGAAGAAGCTTTGATCGGGTTGTGTCTCCAGAGAGTGCGTTGTCTTTGCCTAGAATTTATGGAAAATATATGTCTTCGTAAGTGCAAGAGCCCACCGACGAGATTTTATATATCTTCCTCCTTCCAGGCACCAGCTTCTGCACATGACTGTAGTGAACTATGGTTGAGATGCGTCGAGACGTAATCGGAACCGAAAATTCGAGAACCAGCCGAAGCGTAACTTCACGACCGATCTGCCACGATTCCTATGGCTGAATCGGGCGCGGTACTTGCGCGTTGCTAAGTGACGAGAGTGAGCGCGTGTGATAAGGTCCGTGCCCCTAATACAGCAGGTGCGTCCTTTCCATTATCGCTCCTTGCACTAGCAACGCAGGTCATTTCGCAAACTACCTCTGACCAAATCTCCAAAGACTTCCAGCTCATCGTCATATACCGCCGGCGCGCAGTCGCGACATATCACCCGTTCTCGCGACTCATCGGCAATAAGCCATTCGCGACTTCCGAAGTCAATATTACACGCATACAAGGTGCTCTCGCGTGAGAAGTATCATCAACACAAGGAACTTACTGCTCTCGCTCTCCCTTACTCGCCCACTATGGACCGTCTCTCAACCGAGCTAGACGAAAAGATTATCCAGCACCTAGTCGGAAAGGAAGCATCGGCTCTTTCGATGACATCAAAGTACTATCGATCGATTGCGGAACCACAGCTCTACCGAGAGCTCAATTTCTCGACCAAGCAATGCATAGACTTGATGTTGTTGTTTGAGACGCTTGTTGATCGTCAAGATCTCGCAAAGCACATTCGTTCTTTCACTATGACCATGAACGGATCGCCAAAATTTACCTGGATCTTCGACGCTATCTTCGCCCCCCGCTTCCTGCGTAAGATCAATGCGTACGAGCGGGTCATCAGGGAAGTTATTCCATCATCGTCAAGAGGTCGAGCCAGGCAATGGCTTGATCAGTTGTATCCAGATCAGATGTATCCAGGAGAGCCTATGATCGACGGACAGCTCGCGGTTATTGTCTCTCTTGCCGAGAACATGGAGCATCTGATACTAGATTTTGTCTACCTTTCTAGTGTTCCGATCACCTGGTCAGTCCTCGAAATGTCCTGGGGCAAAGTCAGTGGCGCCGCTGTGAGTAGCGGACACAAGGGAACCGCCTGGAGGTTTAGCAAAGGCTCCGCCAAGCGTGCAGAGGGCCACATACCCTCTTGAGATGGAAGCGAGTGGTCTATAACGGACGGACGTTTGGCGCGATACCGATATATTGGAGAGACATTTGAGACGGAGATGATGCATTTTGGATACGCTGGTCTTTCTACTATTCAATGCCGAAATGTGGCATTAAAACAGACAACTAGACCGTAGTAAATACGATAGAACTAAAGCTATAGACTGACAATGGGCCATATAATGTCAGGAGTTTTGTTGACAAGATGGCTTCGAAAGTACGAAGCCACTAGAGCGAGCCAAATGATTACGTCACGGCGCGGCGATCTCCACGCCTCGGCCATAGCGGGGTTAACTTTTGGGAGCCGAGCTGCGAACTGTCTAACACACGCGTCAACGTTAGCCATCATCCGCAACATAATGGAAGAATACAAGGCCAAGTACGCCATCCACGAGGCCTGTCGGGAAGGTCAAAGTGCGTACGTCACCCTCTTCTAGCAGATCAAGCCTAACAGTCCCCAGCATCCCGAGTCGACTCCCTCCTCGCCGCGAACCCCAAGCTCGCAAACCTCCGCGACCCAGACGAACGCCTCCCAATACACTGGGCTGTATCCTACAACCACCTCGCCATCGTTCAAACACTCGTACAAAGCAAGTCGTTTGACGCCGACGTTACAGATGGCTCAGGCTGGACGCCACTCATGATGGCATGCTCTCGAAAAGATGCAGAGCCAATAGTAGATCTGCTGCTCTCCAAGGACGCCGACGTGAACGCGAAGAACAATAACGGTCAGACCGCCCTACATTTTTGCGCATCGAAAGTGAACCTCGATATCGCACGCACATTGCTCGCACAGAAGCCGCCAGCGTCAGCACGGATAAAAGACAAGAGGGGTCAGCTACCACTGCATCGAGCAGCGGCGGTAGGCAGCGTGCCGATGATGAAGGCGCTGTTAGATGCAAAGAGCCCTTTGAACGCGACGGACATGGACGGCATGACAGCGCTGCACCACGCGATGAGCGAGGGGCATGGAGACGCGGCGCTGCTGCTGCTCACCATGGGCGCGGAACACGACAAGAAGGACACCGATGGCCATGTACCGCTGGATCTCGCGCCAGATGCGAAGACTAGGAGCTTCATACTGCAGGCAGCTGAGCGGGAAGGCATAGAACTGCAGTAGGCAGGACATATCTCACGACATGTAATGTTGCATTTACGGAGTCAATACGATACCCAGGGTCACGGCGCATTGAGGCTGTCATATCTATGAACACATTCACAATTGAGCTACCATATGCGAGTTGCTCTCATGCTTTATGCCATGCGGATCGCTGTCTGGTCGGTGGGGTGGCACGAGCTCGTGATGACTACTCCCGATCTCGACTTGCCTTTCTCTCGCAGCGACGCAGCCCCTCGCACCCCGCGTGTTCTGCACCTCGGACCTATTGCGCAATCGCACCCATCACCTGCATTAGCCCCCACGCTCCCATCGGCATGCCATCAGCGGGGCCTGACCTAGCGCCTGTTCGCAGCGATCAGTCTACATTCCATGCCTCGAGTCCCAGCGTCTGCACACGCACGGATGCGAACAGGCAATCGCATCAGCTATCAGCTCAACTGTGAAGCACGCGACAAACTCTTGTCAGACGTCGCAATCGCAACTACACGTGGTGACGTTACTTTGCTCCTGACGCGTGCTCATCCTGAGGATGATTCGCCATCATGGTGCTAATCGTCACCCATCATGGTCTTCACGGTTTGACTATATAGCTGTCGCGGGGACGATGTACCGAGGCTGAACCCGCGCCGTTTACTCCCTCAAAGACGTATCCAGAAAGTACAGTCTGGACTGCAGCTACCCTAGAAGTATAAGTCGCGACCGCATCGATCAGCTCTAGGTTTCCTACCTCCTCTGCTCTCCTCAGCACACAACACCACACAATCACTCTCTTATTCAGCACGTCATAAACTTCATAGCTTAGCATGGCTACCTTCTCCGATCCATCGACGTACTTAAATTTCCTCATATCCCCACGAATTCCTCCAGAGCTGGTCCTGAAGACGATACAGCACCTGCCTTTCAACGATGGCTCGCTCATTACCACTATTCGGAGCGCACATCCTAGACTTCGTGCCATATTCAAGAACTACGAAAGATCCATTACTGGCAGCTTCATGAAGAAAGAGCTCCGGCACGCAGAGACTGACTTCAAGTGTGGAGATGGTAGGCTCAACGTCGACTGGCTGGCCGATTGCGTTCACAACTACGATATTGTCGATGACGTTATGGACGCCCTCTGCTCTGAGCACAACTTCAACGCCGTTCTACAACACAACGTCCCGCTCGCAAACGCCGGACTACTACTATTATACCGCCTGACATCAATCGGTCAGGCCACCCGCCAACCCCTCTCTAGCACACACAGCCCCAGCTAACCTCCCCCTCAGAAGACCATTCAGAACGCATAACCTACATCAAATCCCTCCCCCGCGACCCTCTAACCGCAATCTACCTCGTCCTCCACCACGCCACCCTCTCCGCCCGCTACCACGGCTCAGGCTGGATAAATCAACGCACCTACGGCCGCTTCATGGACGCAAACCAAGTCGAACTACGCAGCGAACTCGAATTTTGCTTCGCGGAAGCTGCGCTGTGTCTCGGTCCGGAGTTCATCTCAGACACGCTACTGCACCACGATACCTCGAATGCAGAGACTACTTTACTGAACTTCTACCATGATCATGGCACGCATGATTGGGACTGGCCTTGTTGGGGGACGGCGAAGGGCGAGTTTGAACCGCCGAGGACGCAGGGGCCGCAGAGGGAGGAGGGGAGTGGCAGGAGTCTGTTTACGACGATGTTGGAGAGGTTGGCGGAGTGTATGGCGTGTGAGTTGGGTGATGTTAGGCCGAGGGTTGAGTGGCAGCTTGAGAGTGCGGAGCATGGGTTGGCGTATTTGAGTTTAGCGGGGAAGGCAAGGTTGTTGGAAGGAAAGGATGTGGAGGACGTCGATGGTCGGTAGGATGGGGTGTTCGAGTCGTCGGTTGGATCGGACTGGACTTGAACGGCATGTACAATGGCATTCCTAGCGAACTTTTCGATTTTGGTTATTCATGATGCAATACGAACAACACAAAGACATCATCTCCCACTCCATCGCGAAAGACATCCCAGCACCCTAAACCAACTCATTATAAACATCCGTCCTCCTCTTCAACGGCGAATCATTCCTCATACTCCTCACATATTCAACATCAATCTCCGCACACGCAATCTCCCCCTCATCCTTCCAGCTACCCCCTTCCCCCTCATCACCCCCCAACTCCGCAACAATCTTCCCCCACGGATCCACAATCATACTATGTCCCCAACTCCTTCTCTTCCCCTCTTCATCATGCACACCCACCTGCGCCGCAGCGATAATATAACTCTGCGTCTCAATCGCACGGGCTCTGATGAGAATCTCCCAATGTCCTGCTTTTCCAGTCGGCGTCGTGAAGGCGGCGGGGTATAAAAGGACTTCTGCGCCGCGCGCACGGAGGGCGAGACCGGGTTCAGGGAAACGCAAGTCGAAGCAGATTTGCATGCCTAGTTTTCCGACTGGGCTGTCGAAGGGGTCGCCGAGGTGGACGCCGCGTTCTACGCCGGCGGATTCTTGCATTTGGGGGCCGTCTTTTACGTCCATGTCGAAGAGGTGGAGTTTTTGGTAGCGGTATTTTATTTCTCCTGTGGCGGTGATCCAGATTAAAGTGTTTTTTACTTTCTGGCCATCGTCGGTGGGCTCGTGGATGCCGACGGAGATGGGTAGGGAGTATTGTTTTGCGGAGGCGCAGAGGCCTTGGACGAATTCGGAGTCTTGGACGGATTTGCAGAGTTTGAGGCCGCCGGAGGTGGTCAGGTAGTCTGCTGCTTCGGGCAGGAAGAGGGCGGCTGCGCCGGCTTCGTGGGCTTTGCGGCAGAGGGATTGGGCTTGCTTGAGGTTGTCGGCCATGGAGGCCTGGGAGCGCATTTGTCCGACTGCCTGGGGGGTGTTAATATGGGTCATTGGGGGTCAGGTTTGTAGAAACAGTCCATATCGACTCGTGAGCACTCTCTTGAGCGGTGTGTATATGTGGCGAGATGTTGGGGAACACGAGTTGTTCTAGATAAGAGCCAACATTGAACAAGATTTGGGATGATATATGGAAGGTACTTAAGTCAAGAGAACGGATTACAAAGTCTCAAATCTGTACATTGACGGTACTGGTTGGCAACGATGGGATGATGGACATTGGGAAACAGTTCAGATGGCAAGTAAACGAGAAACCGAGAACAACTTACTGCGAGAGGCATCTTGAAGGTATTGATTGGTTTGATTGTGTGTGTTGGAATATGTGGAAGGAATCAAGGTACCTCTGAACTATATGAAGGCAGCAAACACAACTAAAGAAAGAATACTGCTGTCGTCAGAGACGGCAGGCGCGATGCCACTAGAGGCTAGTTCAATCGTAGCAGTCATCGTGAGATGCATGTTGCATCTGGAAACGCATGCCAAAAAAGCATATGGCATGGTGACAGCATGGAAAAGTGAAGATGTCCATAGACCGATCGTTATGCGGAAGTCATGGCCGGGACCGAAGTCCCCTGCATAAACTCTTGGTGGTGGGAATTGCGTCAGGGCAGAGAGCGGAGTTGCGGAACATTTGGTCGGCCAATCGGCGTGCGCGTGGCATGCTGCAACCGCGCCCGTCATCTCGAGGGCTTGCGCGGCAGGAACCTTGGGAGCAAGAGGACACGCATGCGATTGGGGCCGCCTTCCGATGATACGAGCTGATCTAGCTGCGACAACATCCACCCTGCGACATTCACCCTATGGTCATTGCTGTGACACCCCGCGAACCCTACTGATCGCGTACGACCGCCAACAGACCAGCCTGGCCTCCCGCGCAATTGAGCTATGAACAGACACAAGCGCCGAACGAGTGCACGCTGAACGCTAGCGAAGCGTCGTAGACGACCCATCGCCCAAGACACGTAAAGCTGTAGAGGCACGATGAGCGGGAAGAACTGGTGGAACAGCGCCATCTCGGGCCTCGAGTCGCGCCTCGACGGTATCCTGGCCGAAGATGGCACAACACCCACCAAGCCGGCGGGCACAGAGGCAGGCGCCAAGTCAGACACGACAGAAAAGGCAGCGACGGACAAAAAGCTCGCCGTCGATCCAGGTGGGTGGCTTGGAGACACTTCCTGTTACCAGCTTTCAGAGGGCTAACGACTCAGGCATCTCGCGCACCTCGTCACGAAGCCGGCCCAATTCTCGATTACAAGACCGCCTAGCCAAGGCTGTGAACAAAGGATCCGAAGCAAGAACCTCGTCGGACCTTGGATCGAGACCCGCGAGTCCAGCCGTGAATGCTGTCACCGCATCGCCAAGAGCCAGCATAGACTCGAAAGCGCCCGAGCCAGCGACGGAGGCGGTAGCTGTGAAAGAGGAAACCACAACGGCGAAGGGAGATGAGGCACCCAAGCCGGATGAAAGCAAGGTCGAGGAGCCTCCACAACCTGCCGCAGAGGCACCTGCGCCCATCGTCTCTCCTCCAGCGACTTCACCACCGCCTACACCTCTAGTAGCTGAGCAACCGACCTCGACGCCCGTTCCCACCATGTCCATGCCGTCGATACCCTCCATAGTCACCCCGCAAACCTCGTCTCCCCGCCAGTCCTTCGACAGCGACCCGTCGCGAACTTCGATCGACGTGCTCCCCCCAACGCTGTCTACCGAGACCAAAGATCCCGAAGAAGTGCAAGCTGAGCTATCATTGCTACAGAGGACATACGAGGAGACGATGCAAGACAATCGCGAGGAGCTCAACTCTCACCTAGAGCGAATCGATGCTTTACAGTCGAAGCTCACATACCTCTCCGAGCAGCTTGCTGCCTCTGCAAAGGCCGCCAAGTCCGACTCGGAAGCGACCCCGGCGGACAAGAAGCTGGCGGACAAGGATTCACAGATAGCTGCGCTCATGGAAGAGGGGCAGAAACTCTCAAAGACGGAGATGAAGCATCTGACCACTATCAAAAAGATGCGCGCGAAGGCCATGGAGCAGGACAAGGAGATTGCGACTCTCAAACAGCGGCTGACAAAGGCGGAAAAGAGCATCACTGAGCAGTCGGAAAGGGCACGGCGCGCAGAGGCGGCAGAAAAGTCTGCGCAAGAAAAGCTGAAGATTGTGGGTAGGATCGAGAAGGACATCGAGACTATCAGAGCTGAGCGCGAAGAGGCTGGACTTACCATATCTGAGCTGCGGAAACAGCTCAACGATGCTCTCTCACGAGCAGAAGACGCTGAGAAGAGAGCCCAATCTGGAGCGCTGGAAGCAGAGAAGAGGGCCACTGCGTCGCTCAAGGAAGACATCGAGAATGTCCGGATAGAAAAGAAGCTTGCCGAAGATCGCGCGAAGAGGGAGCTTCAGGCGGCCAGGGACGAAGCGAAGAGCCAGCAGGAGAAAGCAAAGGTCGCCGAGCTTGAGTTGCGCGGCGAGATTGCTGTAAGTCCTGATGAAGTACTCTAAACAGACGGATACTGACCAAAATCTAGAACCTGGAATCTAAGCTCGAACTGCTCCGCAGCCGCACAGAAGAGGCATCTTCATCGGCGACTGGTGACTCACAAGCTAAGCTTCTGCGACAGATTGAGACGCTGCAGACCCAGTACTCGCTGGCTTCCGAGAACTGGCAGGGTATCGAGACCACTTTGACGTCTCGTATGGCAGCTCTCGAGAAAGACCGCGATGAAACGGCAAAGCGCGAGTCTGATGTACGACGAAAGGCACGGGAAGTCAACTCAAAAGCACGCCGACTGGAAGACGAGCTGGAGAGCATCAACGAACGAGCCCGCACATTCGAGCACGATCTGACAGAGCAGCATGCCGCGGCCCAGAAGCTACAAACTAGGCTCACGCAAGCAGAGACGGCAGCACAAGATGCGCGAGCCGAGCTTGAACGAGAAAAGAAGCTGTGGGAGGTCGAGCTTCAACAACGAATAGAGGAAGAGAAGAACAGATGGAAAGTAGAGATACAGACGCCATCTCTGCTAGGTGATTCACATCATCTACGAACAGACTCCCCTTCAATAGCCCAACGCCGGCATTCACCCGACCCACTGGGCATATACAGCCGGCGACCCAACCCACGCTCCATCTCCAGCGGCATGGACATGCCCATGATGTCCCCCATGGACCGCATGTTCGACGAAGCCTCGCGCCGCCCCTCTTCCTCACGCCACAACAAGTCCAGCAACGCGACCAAAGTGCGCACCCCCGAACTCGGCACCCCCCAACGGCAAGACTCCATTCCATCAAGCATGTCGAACCTGAACGGCGGCCTGGAAACACCGTCTATCCATACGATCGACCACGACAACGACCCTTTCGAGAACACATCTTCCCCACACAGGACTATAAACGACATGATCAGCGTCTCCACCGCCGGCGCAGGTCCCTCCGTCCAACTCGTCGAGCGCATGAGCGCCGCAGTCCGGCGTCTAGAATCCGAGAAAGCAACCCATAAAGAGGAACTCGCTCGTCTGACGGCCCAGCGCGACGAAGCGCGTGAAGAAGTCGTTAAGCTCATGCGTGAGGTCGACGAGACGAGGAAACAGGGGGAGAAGGTTGGGGATTTGGAAAAGAGGTTGGGTGAGATGGAGAATAGGGAGATGACGGCGTTGGAGATGTTGGGGGAGAAGACGGAGAGGGTCGAGGAGTTGGAGGGGGATGTGAGGGATTTGAAGAAGATTTATAGGGAGTTGGTTGATACCCTTAAGTGAGGGGGTTGGTGTAGCCGTGAGATCGGAAATCGAGATGCTAGCTCTCTTCCGTTTGAGTGTTACGAAACCGTGGTTCAAAGTGTTATTTGCTGACCAATGACGTCGCGTACCTTCTCGTGGTGTGCACAACCATGGGCCGCAAACAGTGACTCATGTCTTTGGACTGGCCGCCTATATCTATACGCGCCCCTCAAATCACGAACCTTTATTCAAAATCACAACTGGACCTTGACACACCGAGTAACAATTTCCCCATCCGTGTGACGCGTTACGCCTTCCCGACTGCCAACATCATGGACACGACCAAGATAGCACCCCTCGTCTGGATCAACGGCTTTCCAGGCTGCGGAAAACTCACAATCGCTTCCGTCATGAAGATCCTACACACCGACATGATCCTCCTGGACAACCACCAGCTGATCGACCCCGTGGAAGCGAAGTACGCACGAAGTCATCCCGATTACCAAAAAGAACGACATCGATATCGGCAACACATCTTCAGGGAACATGTTAGTAACCCTGCTACGTTATCGCAGGTTGTGGTTTTCACCGGTAAGAACTCCTATTTATCCCTTGCCAAAGACATTTTGCTGATGGTTGTTGACGTGATGATGAAGATTACCAGTCGCACAACGAACTAGGACAAAAAGTCGCGGAAGAGTATCAGGAAGCAGCGAGAGCAGCTGGACGCCCTTTTAAGCCTGTCTACATTGTTTGCGACGTCGAGGAAAACATCAAGCGGATTGCTGCCGCCGGGCGCGTCAACGGGAGTGCCAAGAAGCTCACTGATCCTGATCGTCTGAGGGGTTTCAGGGAGAGATGCGATATCTTTCGGTTTGAGGGCTGTGATGGTTTGAGCGTTGACACGACTGATAGTGCGCCTGAAGAAGTTGCTAGGGAGATACTGAGGTTTGTGGAGGAGAGATGATGATTGGGATGTTGATTCCTGGGGCAAGATTGGGGTTTTACGAAGCGAATGGGCGGGTGGTGTTACTTCGCTTAGCTGAGATGTAGACTGAACCTCCGCACGAGAGTAGAAGTATCTCTCAGCTTTTTCGCGGGGAAGATCCTGATAGCATGCATCTCAATCAGTTCTTTCATGTTGAGTGTGAACTTCGTGGATCTTTTGCGCAAGGAATCTCCGTCGCGGAGCAGTATATCGCCGATTTAGTAACTGCGTTTATTCGAGACCGTGCAAAGACTGTCGAGCAAACGGTTGGTGCAGTTGCGCACTTGGAGAGTTTCTTAACGCACTTCCGTTCTCACGGTAACACCTTGCCTCAAATCACCGTCGACGACGCTTTAAAGATACCGACCATGGACATGACATGCTGGAAACCCGTCGTGCCATCCGACCCCTCGAAAGGACGCGCTCTCACCCGAGCCGGAGAAACAAAGCTAATCGAGCATTTCGGCGGAGCAGTCTGGCTCACTGAGATGGATGACCTGAGCGTACCCTTCTACCAGGCGTTCACAGACAAGACATGCGCAAAAGCACGTTGTGCAGACCTTTTACCTGGCAACGGAGAGGTTCATAGTCACCCATGCTCTGGTGTGTATTGCGAGGGCATAAGAAGTACCGAGTTGATGGGTATGTATTATACTTCTAGTGGTGTTACAGTCTATGCAGTGGTCTCTATGGGCTTTGACTACCCAGCCAAGCCTGGCCTAGATACGTTCATCGTCTCAGGTGCTTATCCAAAAGGACAGCTCGGAAGCTTAAAGTTCTCGCCTTTCTTCGGCCTACATCGCCCATACTTCTTGGTTCGTAGCTGCTGCTCATTGCCCCTCGGCACACCTGGCTTGAGGCCCGACGGAGCCGCTCCACCCACTGGCTTTTTCGGTGCCACCAAACCAAGGCCAGCTCTTCGCTTGAGACTACCACGCCCTACGTCGGCCAGTGGGTCTGGCTCCCACTCTGCCGTTGTAGCGTCGCATGCGAGCTTATCTTGTGTATGCGGGAGACACAATGGATATTTGTCGTAGATTCCGCAGACGGTCGCGTAGATAGTTCTACATTTCTGGACACGGGGAAATTTACAGTTTCCACTGGGCGAGCATGAGTCGATGGCGAAGCTCTGTGCAGGCTCTGCTGTGTTCTGCGGACCGCCTGACTCATTGAGGTTGTCACCGTCTAGCAAAGCATCAGACTGACCCATGTCGAGACTGAGTGGAGCTGGTGCGGCTGGCGCAGGTTTCGGCGCAGTCTTATTTGAGTTCGAGAAGCCTGTGGAGCCTGCGACGCACTTTGAAGTGTCGTCAAAAATGGCGGTGACAGCATCAGACCACAAGCGGGTGTAGTTGAAGACATTTGCTAGGGTGTAGAAGATGCGGCAATCGGCAGGTTCGTACTTAAATTGGAGCGGCTCTGTATCGTTGGGTCGGACCTAGTCCCTGAGGTTGATGCCAAAGGCTGCTGTGAAGACACCGGAATCCCGATAGTCATTAGTGGTGAGCTGAGGAACTGTGGCCAATGTTGCGTTGTCGACGTTGAACGCGGGAGATAAGATGACACCGCCGTAGCGCGCCCCGCGGGGCTGATAATAGGGGCTAAACAGAATGTTAATTTAACAACACACATTGCAAAGGATATTAGAGGTTAAAAGACTATGCATATAATATTAAGTGTAATATACTAAAAGCAATAAATAAAGTGTCTATATAGTTAGAATTCTAAGCTAAATAGCCTTACGCTGCTATATTAGCTACGTTAGCTATTAAGATAAATATAATATTACGCTAAAAATGTGTTTGCATATGTATTAGATTAATTAAGTGTTATATAATAATTATAGCAAAACTACTGTTATTAATTATATAGTATTAAATCTAATATAGTTATAATAGCTAATTAGCCTATTAATATTAACATAATATCTAAAAGACTATATAATTAACGTAGAAACTCTTCTAACGCTATATTAATTCTAAAAGAATTAGTTAAGCAATTAATATAATATACACTTAAAGTAAAGATAAAATTATTACTAAGGCTCTTGTAATAGTGTAATAATATAATACTATAGAACTTTTCTTTATTAGTAGATTAAAGAACCTAGCAGTACTTTATAGCTTTGTTAATCTTAGACGTATTTTATTATAATATTAAAGTCTACTTATAATTATATATAATTAGTTATTACTATAGTTTTATCTCCGCTTTCTATGTAATATATATGTAGAACCTAGTATACTCTTAGAATTCTAGCGCTACCTTATAAGTAGTATTACTCTTAGAGTTTTAATTTATGTAATATATACTATATTACTTACTAGCTTTATTACGCTACCTATATTACTTTAAGATTATATTAGAGGTATTCTATTAGTAAAGAAATAGTACGCTATAGCTTGCATCTTTAAGTAGCTAAGCCTAGATAGTAAATATTTACTAACTATATAAGTTATAATATAGATATCTAGAATTCTATAAGTCTCTTTACGTATTAAGTTAGCAAATTAGCTTATTATTTATATATTCTATAGTAAAGCCTACGCTTTAGATACCTTATAAATGTAACAGCTACTATATCTACTAAGATAAAGTAAGATAACTAAAAGATCTACTATAGTAAATTCTTCTATTAAATAGTAACACTAAATCTAATGCTAATAAGATAGTAATAATACTAACTAGGTATTATAAATAACAAAAACGCTATACTTATAGAAAGAACGCTAAATCTAAAAAGTAAAAGAGAAATATAAAAAAAACTAAAGGCAGAAACTTTATAGTAACTAACTTATATTATTATATAAGCGTTTTATATTTATTAGCGTTATTATAGTGCTTACTCTCTCTTAGAGTTACTCTAGGTAGAAGATTATACTCTATTAGATTAGTAGAGTTTAGGTTAAACTTAATTCTTAGTAGAGGCTTATTGCAGTTGCTTTTGTAAAGAAAGTTAATATAAGTAATAAAGTTAGTTATCTTAGGTTAGTGCTTATTAATAGTATTATTCTTAAAAATCTTATTAAATACTAAAACTAGGCCTTTATGTGTATAAGTAGAATAGTATATAATCTTACTTTTAGATATATTATAAGCTAACTTTACCTACGTAGTAATATTATAGAAAAGAGCTATAAGGTATTAGTATATACGCATAATAGAATAATTAGACCTGCTTTATACTTTAAGCCTACTATTCTCTCTTTAAGTACTTTTTTTCTAGGCTCTTTAACGTAGTAGTTACTAGCTAGTTAATTATAGGCTTTATAAAACTAAAGATAGTGTTAAACTTCTTAAAGCTAAAGCGCGTTCTAAATATTAGTTATAGGTTATCTAAGTAATAACACTTAGCTAGAGCTTTGCTAGAGTTACGCTAAAGAGCCTTTAGAATATAGGTCTATAGCAAGGTTAGTAAAAGAAAATAAATCTATTTATAAAACACTTACCTCTATTACCTTAATAGTTTAGCTTTTCTATTATAAGGTATTGTTGTAGACCTTTATATAAGCTTTAGTAATAACCTAGATGTACTAAGATATATTTATATAATTAGAAAATACTTAGTAGACTAGATAAGCGCACTAGTTAGAGCTAAGTATAATAAGAAAAGTAACTCTAAGTAAATTAACTAAGAGCTAGTTGCAAGAGTAGAAGTTAAGAGCTATTTAATCTAGCTAAGACTTATTATACTTACGCTTCTTTAGCTTAGGTTATATACTCTATTATAATATAGATTAGTATATAAAATAACACTAGAGATAGTAGTTTACTAAAGCTTTCTACTTAATCTCTTAAATTATAAACCTAATAGACGCGCTCTTTACTAGCACTAAGTCTAGACTCTTAAGTATTTCTATTATAATAGAGGCTTTTAGTTTAGATACTATAGCTCTATCTTTATTAGTGTTAACCTTCTTAGGCTTAGTAGAGCTAATATTAATTAGAGGTACCTAAACTTAAGCTAATTATGCTAGCTTATCTTAACCTTATTTAAAATTCTTATCTTAACTACGTTTATTCTCTAATACCTTTAGCTTTGTCTTCTTAGCTCTCTTCTAATTATAAATCTTCTTTACTTTTTTATCTCTTAACTAGCTATTCTTCTTAGAATCTACTACTCTTTTCTTAACCTTATTAGACTTACTAATAGAACTAATAGCTTCTTAAATTAACTTAGTACCTAAACTCTTCTTATCTTCTTCTTAAATAGTATTAGATATAGAAGGTTTATAAACTAAGAGCGCGCTTAGAGTCTATAATTATATAACTAGCTAACTCTTAGCTTTAGCGCTCTATAATTAAAGAGATAACTTAGGTAGTATCTAGGCTTACGTAGTATTATTTCTGCTCTTCTTCTTCTTCTTAGTAGGTATAGTAGTTTTAGTTAAAGTCTTAGTAGGTACTACTAGAGACTCTAAGCGTACGTGTAAGCTAGATTAAGTGCAAGGTACTTATAAGTAGTAAAGAGTAGAGACGCAAGATAGCTTAAGTAGATTATTATCTAACCTAGATATATTCTAATTATACTTATCTAAGAGGTCTTAAGAGCGCTAGAGCTTAGTGCTTAGTCTATAGACGTGCTTAGATAGAGATTTAATTTTAGTAGATAGTATAATCTTAGGCTAGAAGGTAGAGCGCTTACTATTTACGTTTCTTAGAGGTATAGATAGAAAGAGTAAATAAATAGAAGTAGTATACGTAGTAAAGAATAATTAAAGACGTAAAGTAGGTAGAACGTAAAGTAAGGTAAGATTATAGAATAAAAGAGTAATAGTGTTAAGAGGCTAGTTAATAGAGGTTAGCGCTAAGTAATAGTAGTAAAAGTAGAGATATAGAGGTCTTATTAGCGCTAGTGTAGGCACTAGCTATATATATTAGAAGCGTCTGCTGCTATAAATTACTTCTACTAACACTACTCTACCTCTATACGTTTTTCTATCTCTAGATATAAAATTATTTTATATACTCTTTTTATT